AGCTTAAGAAGAAGCTTACAACGACTCCAGTACTGATTATTCCTGATCCTACTAGAAGTTTCACAATCTATAGTGATGCTTCAAAGCAGGGTCTTGGATGTGTACTTATGCAAGAAGGTCAAGTTGTGGCATATGCTTCGCGGCAGTTGAAGCCAAATGAGCAGAATTACCCAACTCATGATCTAGAGTTGGCAGCAGTAGTGCATGCATTGAAGATTTGGAGGCATTATCTCTATGGTGGTCGATGTGAAATATTCACTGATCACAAGAGTTTGCAATATATTTTCACACAGAAAGAGCTCAATATGCGCCAAAGGAGATGGCTAGAGCTAGTGAAAGATTATGATTGCACTATTCAATATCATCCGGGAAAAGCGAACGTTGTAGCTGATGCCCTAAGCCGAAAGGTGAAGGGAGAGTTATCCTGTTGTATATCACAACAGAAGCAACTCATTAAAGAGTTCGCCCGAATGCAGATTGAAGTAGTTGAGTCACTTCCTAAGGAGATTACAGGAAGTATTAACTCGATGAAGATTCAACCTATGTTGAGGGATAGAATCCGGAAGGAGCAAACTTTCGATCAATTTATTCGAAAGATCGAAGAGAAGGTTCATGCTGAAGGAGTAGAAGGCTTTTACCGAAGCACCGATGGGGCTTTAGAGTTCAAAGGCAGAATTGTTGTGCCGAAAGTCGAGTCCTTGCGGAAGGAAATCTTGACAGAAGCACACAGTGCGCCTTATTTAGCTCACCCTGGAAGCACCAAAATGTATCACGACTTGAAAAAGTCGTTTTGGTGGAAAGGAATGAAGAGAGATGTAGCAGACTTTGTAAAGAAGTGTTTGGTTTGTCAGCAAGTGAAGGCTGAACACAAAAGTCCATTGGGACTGTTGCAGCCACTTGAGATTCCAAAGTGGAAATGGGAAGAAGTTACCATGGATTTTGTTACAGGGTTACCTAAGTCGTCTGAGCATCATGATGCGATTTGGGTAGTAGTGGACAGATTGACGAAAGTCGCCCACTTTATGCCTGTGACAATGACGATGTCGATGGACAAGTTAGCTGAGATCTATACGCGTGGAATCATTCGACTCCATGGAGTGCCAGTTACGATCATATCTGATCGAGATCCCAGATTCACTAGCAGATTTTGGGAGAGTTTGCACGAGGCAATGGGCACACAATTGAAGTTTAGTTCGGCTTATCATCCTGAGACAGATGGCCAATCCGAAAGGACTATCCAGACGCTAGAGGATATGCTCAGAGCTTGCATATTGGATAGAGGTGATAAATGGGAGAAGTGGTTACCATTAGTAGAGTTTGCTTACAATAATAGTTACCACGCATCGATTCAGATGGCTCCATATGAAGCACTTTATGGACGAAAGTGCCGTTCACCCCTTTATTGGGACGATGTTGGAGAAAGTCGAGTTCTTGGACCAGAGATGATTGAAGAGACGGTTGAGCAAGTAGCCTGGATTCGAGAAAGGCTAAAGACTGCTCAGAGTCGGCAAAAGTCTTCCGCCGATAAGCATAGAAGAGAGATGCAATTTGAAGTTGGAGATAAAGTTTTCTTGAAAGTTCGACCGATGCGAGGGGTCGTTCGTTTTGGGAAGAGAGGCAAGTTACATCCTCGATATATAGGTCCATTTGAAATTTTGGAACGAGTTGGAGAAGTATCTTATCGCTTAGCATTACCTCCGGAGTTATCAAGTGTGCATAATGTTTTTCACGTATCGATGTTACGTGCTTACGTGTGCGATCCCGAGCATGTGCTGAAGCACAATGAGATTCAGATTCAGCCTGATTTAACTTATGAGGAGCAGCCAGTAGCAGTTTTGGACCGAAAGGTTCATCGGCTCAGGAATCGAGATATTCCCCTCGTTCGTATTAGATGGAATCGCCACGGAGAGTCAAATGCCACTTGGGAGAGGGAAGCTGATATTAGAGCTCGTTTTCCTGAGTTTGCGTTTTGAGGTATGTTTGTTTTTATATTTCCGAGGACGGAAATAGTTTTAAGGGGGGTAGATTGTAATATCCCTTTCAGTTATCTCAGTTATTATGAGTTATTGTTCCAAGAAATAAGTGATTTCGAGTCCAAGATAGTAAGTTATCGGACCGAAATTAAGAATTTTCAAGGAACAAGCCACACGAGTCGTGTGAAGAGACACACGAGTCGTGTGAAGCCACACGAGTCGTGTGGAGAGGCACACGAGTCGTGTGGGATGGAGACGTGATGAAAGTTAGCCTCGGGATTTTGACACGAGTCGTGTGATGAGCCACACGAGTCGTGTGAAGCTACACGAGTCGTGTGATATAGTACACGAGTCGTGTGAGAAGATGAATGATTAAGAGCAAAAGTGTCGGCAAGCCACACGAGTCGTGTGGCAAGGCACACGAGTCGTGTGAGGCCACACGAGTCGTGTGACTCCCCCACACGAGTCGTGTTGCCGACAGTCCAATTGGATTATTGAGAATTCGATTGTGACTTTAACCAAAGGCCATTTTTGATGTTTAAATATGCTTTGGATGGATGAATAAGTAAATCATAAGATATTTTAAAGATTATTTAAGTTTATAAGTTAAATTTTATATTATGATCATTTAATCACTCTATTTGGATGTTTCTCCAATTTGTGCCTATAAATAGAGGCTTAAACCTCAGAGTTTTTACACCAAAATAATTACTAAAGTCATATGAGTTTGTGAGAGAGAGTGAGAAGGAGTAATCTTTGGAGAAGTAAGGACATTAGAGTGAAGAATCAAGTTTTTAACTTCACCTAGAAGGAGGTAATTTACTTATCTTAATGTTTCATATTTGAGTTCATGCTTTTATGATAAGTTTACATGTTTATGAGTATGTATATCATGATGTAGAAGTTGGAGTTTATAATTGATAAAATGAGTTAAAGATGTTAAAGATCAATTATGTGATATATGTGCTTAATGAAATGAGATGTTGATTTGCATGAGATTTTCATGAAGATATGAATATGCTGGAAAAGTATGATTTAAATGAATAATTCTTGTGTAAAAGAGGAGTACATGAGATCAAGAATTTAGTGATTTGGCATAGTATAACTTAAGTTATGAATTTTTGAAGATGAACATGTAAGATGAAGTTTATGTTCACTATGACTTTAAATTCTCATAACTTGATGAATATGAATGATTAAATTATGAAATTTTGATGACATGTCTATTTAGAAGTTGAGATTATGACTGTTAAATTTCATAATTTAAAGATGAGAAATGAATGAGTTATGAATATGAGATGGCATATATGTGAAGATGAGTATATATATGCAAGAATATTCATGAGATGATCAAGATGTTAAAATGAGATTTTTATGATCTATTCTCATATGAGTGATGAGCAAATTGATGAAGTTTGATTTAATATGTTGAGTATACAATTTTATAAAAATTGTATTAAGTATGACATATTAATATTATGATTAAAAGTGATGATTTGGAAGATGATTATAATTGAGTTTATTTCACTTTTGAGTTATTTAAGTGAAAAGTGATAAATTAAGAGATGAGATGTATGATGGATTAAGTACTTGATTGAGTTAAAGATCAAGATGAATTTATATATCTTGATGATGATGATGTTTAAATATTTAATCAAGTATAAATGTGAAGTATAGTTATTTTCACATTTGAGTTAAAATATGATAAGTTTAATATCATATTGATGTTTATGAAGACATGATTTATAAGGTTAAGTAATTGAACTTGAAGAAAAGTTAACTTGAGAAAGAGCATGTTGATGAATTTCTATAAGATTGGATGAGTTAAGAATCCTAAAATCTTATTGAGTATATGAGCATAGTACTTAGTATATTTGTTTATATTTGATGTAACTTGCAGATTTCGTTACAGCACAGCACTTATCGATTTACAAATGATTTCAAAGACAAAAAGGTGGGGACCCTGAACGGGTATCACATTGAGTACGATATCGATAGAGATGGGATGAGGAGACCATGAGTTGTCTCGGAGTATATCCTAAGTATTGATTATACGCTTGGGAAGAAGGCCGCTGAGTTGCCTTACGAGTATTTCCTAAGTTCTAATGGAGGCCGTTGAGTTGCCTTGAGAAATATCCATTAGAGTGTGCACATGTACTTAATCAAGAAGAGAAAGAGAAAAGTTTGAGTTTATGTACCAGAATAGATTTCTGGTTACCGATCAGATATCGGTATATGATGATCTTTATCGTTACTCACCCCCATGAGTTTTAGTTTCAGGTAACAGGTTGAAGAGGAGGTGTGAGTGGAGCAGTGTTGGTGTGGATCGTGGATTCAGATGAAGACAAGCTTTGATACGGACATTTAAACCAGTCTGTATAATTAACTACGTTCTAAAAGTATACTTTGATTTATTTATCCGCTACGCAATATGATGATTGAACTTGCATTTTTAAATGAAGTTATGATTTGAAGTTTTTAACATTTAGAGAAGTATGAATATGGTTAAATGCAAGTTTAAAGAAAATCTATTTAATTATGTCTAAAAGAGTTATTAGACAAGAGTTTAATGATAAATGGATTTTCAAGATGTAAGGTTGAGTAGCATCCCGAACTAGTCGCAAAAGATTTCGAAAGAGATATGAGTATTTTCGAAGTAAAAGTTGCGAAAAATTTACTCTGATAAGCGGGGTGTTACACAATGTGCTCCAACCATCTCACAAAGCTTCCCCACATATTCTCCTAAATTGCTTCTGCAGGCTACTTACGTTGTTTTTCTAAACACCCCATTTATGAAAATATTATAGTTATTACAACTTACAAGAGTCAAGGGTTGCCGAGTAATTTTAGCGATTCGAATTAAAGGCTTCTGGTATATATAAGTTGTCACTGCTCACGATTCTAGGTTTTTTATGGTGGGTGGTAGAGAGATTAATATATTCAACAAATTCAATGATTATTGGACTTTTCTTCATATTTAGGGTTAACTTAGAAATTTACTTTGGATAGAAAGAAATCTGAACTAACTATGGAATCCACTACTCAAATAGTGACAAGTCTCTAGAATATCACGCTCCTTAAGAAAAAGTAAGCAGATTTCAACACATTCTACAAAATAATATGTTAACAAGTCATAATATCATGAAGAGCTAACCAGAAATCAAACTTCCAAGAAGCTAACTATAGAAAAACATGGTTGTAAATACACAAAGACAGTAAGTGTCCCCCCATGGACGTAAGAGAAAAATGGAAAATTGTACCAAATGCATGAAAAACTATGATATAAACTTGCAATAGTTGACAAAAGCACAAATGTATCATATCATAAATTCCGAAAATCCTACACTCGCAACAGCTTTCCGCGATAAAACAAACACACCACAGCCAAAATTACAGCCACACAAAATTAAACCTTGACATATACGTGTGTAACGAGTCTCAGCGGTCAACCCTCATAATAAAGNAGAACTAGAAAAAGCTCACCTGGATCACACGACTGATAAAACTTCTCCACATCTGCCAAGACCAAAAGAAAATAAAGTCAGAATACATTTGATTCCAAATTCGACAAAGCAATCCATGATATCCAACTATTATAGAAGCTCTCCAAACGACCAAAGTTAACTGCAACGCAATTTCTTATGCATGCAGGCAAAGCCACAAATAAAAGCATAAAAATTCATTCAGAAAATCACAAATCTTACGGCAGATTCAGAACAAAGATTTCAATTTTTCCTAATAGTTTTTTACACACACTTTTACAGTTGATTTTTACAAAATTAAAAGCAAAAGGAATAGCAAAAAAAATACCAGTAGTAAGAGCTTTGAGGAGACCAGCTCGACAGCCTTTGAAATTGTTGAAGACTTCCTCCACGGCCCTTGGCACCGGATGAGGAGTTTCCTCCATCTTTTTTCTAATCTTTCAAGACCTTTTGCCAGAAAAGCGCAGGAAAGCAGCCTGGTAACTCAACGCTTATTGACTGATACTCAAGCAACCTTGCAAGCCTGAATCACCATCAAAGAAATTTAAACCTCGCATAAATATCAACACCAGCAACAAAAAATTAGTGAACACAATTGAAATGCAATAATAATAAAGTCTTGTAGCCCTAAATAGACCAAAATAAAATCAAAATTGAATTAGGTTAAAGATAAGGAATTTTTTCTTCAAGTACGAAGAAGATATTCGTAGCACAAAACAACCACCAAAAATCCATCCTTTACATGCAACGAATAATTTGGACAAAATTTACAAAAATTAAATTTACAAACCAAGATCCGTTTATAAAAAAAACCAAAACAATAGGATGTCGAACCTCGGATGAAAATGGGAAAAAAAAATTTAAAAGCCATATATTGGGTTGGAATCACAGGCACCTTTAACTCAAGCATGTATAATATAAGCTCGAGTGCTCGACGAACAGTTCGAGTATTAAATATAATTTATCTACGTGCTCCTAAATCGAGTTACAGTTGAGCCAAAGTGGGATAAAAATGTATTTGAATTGAAATTCAAGTTTGTGAATGCAAGTCGACTTGAGCATTTTTATGTTGCGGGGCCTAGCCTTAAAGAGTTTTGCAGAAGCTCGAGCAGCAGTAAGAAAATAGAGCGTAGCTGTCCATAAGACCATTTCTTGTTCGACTGGATAATGGATTTGATTTGATTAGATATGGATTTGATTGATTTGATTGGATTTGATTTGATTGGATATGGTGAAAAAGTAGAGCCTAGTTGTCCATAAGACCAATTTTTATGGTTAATCGTGTACTGTGTAAAAGTGTGTCACTCACTCCATATGAGTTGTGGAATGGGAAACCACCCATTTTGGACCATTTACGTCCTTGGGGTTCGACTGGCTATGTGCATAACCGAAGTCACAAGTATGGAAAGCTTGGTCCAAAAGCTACCAAAATGGTGTTCATTAGATACCCTTAACATTCAAAAGGGTATGTTATGTTTGGTGAACATCTAGATGGTGGAATAACTGAGCTAGACTCACGCAATGTCGATTTTCTTGAGGATGAATTCCCAAGTATTGGTGAAATTAAGAGAGACTTCAGTTGTATGAGTTACAACAAGAAATGCAATTATCTTTAGGAGATGAGGGGTATATGTTACCTCAACAGGTCTCCAAAGATAATGAAGTTCTTCTAAATTCAACTAGTGAAATGCAAGTATCTTTACGAGATGAGGGGGATATGTTACCTCAACAGGTCTCTAAAGATAATGAAGTTCTTCTAAATTCCACTAGTGAAAAACAAACTCAAAATGAGGATGAGTCTCATAGAGTAGAGCACGAGATAAGTCATCAAACTCATAGTCCCATGCCTCTCGAGGATAGTGGGAGAAATTTTTCTACTAGTTTGGAAAATAATGAAGGTCCTACTTTAAGAAGGAAAGATCGTGAAAGAATTTCTCGTCGATTTTTTCAAATTGAAGAGGAAGTATTTCTTTGTACTCCTTTAGAAGTAGATGAACCAAACTCTTATAAAGAGGCAATGAATTCACTATATAAGTCAGAATGGAAAGATGCAATGAATGATGAGATGGACTCAATGATTATAAATAATGTTTGGGAACTTGTTGACCTTTCACCTCATCCTCGATCAATTGGATATAAGTGAATATTCAAAATCAAGCGTGAGGTGGATGGATCAATAGAAAAGTTCAAAGCTCGTTTAGTAGCGAAAGTTATTACCCAAATTGAAGGTATATATTACGATGAGTCATTTTCTCCTGTGGTGAGATTTTTCTCTATTCGTCTTCTTTTAGCCCTGGTTGCCTATTTGGATTTAGAATTATTTCAAATGGACGTAAAAACTGTCTTCCTCAATAGTTCTCTTGAGGAAGAGATATATATGGATCAACCTATTGGGTTTGTCTCAAAAGGGAAGACAATAAAATTGGTCGTCTCAAAAGATCCATATATGGTCTCAAGCAGTCTTCTAGACGATGGTATCTCAAATTCCATGAAGCCATTTGTGCATTTGGTTTGACCATGGTTGATGAGGATCATTGTGTGTATGTCAAGAAAAGTGAAGAAGAAATTTTGTTTCTTTCTTTATACGTTGATGACATATTGTTGGCTGGAAAGGACATGGGAATGATCAACGACACTAAGCAGTGGTTGTCTTCTAACTTTGAAATGAAGGACATGGGTGAAGCTAGGTATGTCTTATGTTTGTCCCATTTTTGTTGCGTTTTTCGTTGTTATTTTGTCCCTCATATTGAGTCATTTAGATGGTTTTAGGATCATTTTGTCATTTATTATGTGTTTTGCGTTCATTTGAGTGTTGCGATGTTTTCCGTTTGTTTTCCGGTCTTTTTCTGTTCTCTTTTCGTTTTTGGTGTGTAGTTTGAAGACCTCGGGAGAACAGGTTTTCGAGAATCTTGTGGGGAAGCTGACACCATTAGATAGAGGGGTTCGTTAGCGACACGTAGGAAAAAACGGAACTCAATTCTGAGTTAAAACGAACCCGAACGAGCAAAAATCGTAAGATGGTGCAGTGCAGATTTTGGTCTCCGCGGCCGCGACCCTTTCTTCGCCGCGGCCGCGGCGAAGAAAAGCTGCCAGGTCCCAAATTTCAGCAATGAAAATCCCGCGGCTTCGGAGCTCTCCGCGGCCGTGGAAGGCGCGTTTCAACCTTTAAAACCCAATTTCTGCGATTTTTGACAAGGGGGAGAAATGGGGGTGCGATTGGGGGGTGCCCTAGCCTAAAAACTTCCTCTCCATTCTCCATCTTCTTCCTCTCCGTTCTCCATTTTCTTCTTCCTCCTCTTCTTCATCTTCTTTCTTCTTCTTCTTCTTCTTCTTCTTCTTCTTCTTCTTCTTCTTCTTCTTCTTCTTCTTCTTCNNC